GGTTCTTACAGTCCAAACGTGCTACAGCGTTTGTGCTAATTTAGCAACATTACCGACGCAAACCACTTAAAACCTGCTCTCCTTCACGATTTAACGAGGTACATCCTTCTATAAAAACCACCGGCTCTTAACGTGACTAAAATGGAGGAACTCAACAGAGCTTAACGAGCTTATTAAACAGAGCGTCACGTCTCCATTCTTCACCTGCGTCTCTCTCGTCCTGACTTTTAGCCCCGCCCCTCTCAGAATCCGATGTGCTACAATGTTCATCCCAACTCAACACCGATTCGCTGACACTGATTGATTGACACCTGTCTGTAGCCAAAACACAAACAGAAAACGGATCTGAGGCGTTCAAGGTCTACTCCAAACAGAAAAAACTTCAGTATCTTACCAAAAATAAACATTTCCCCATAATGATGTCCAAAAATAACTTCACACCACACAGGACATATTTCAATATACAAAATATAAATGGACTGAACTGAAAGGCATGTAAAAAACAACAAAATTAGTAGGTTAATACATTAGTTTTCTTTAGTATCACAGTAATCCAGTGATGTTTGTCTGTAGGCCTAGTAGTTTCAGTAAAGGTAATTAGAACATTTTTTTAACCTCACTTATTATACACATTTGGATTATTTTAATTCTGTAAATTAACCATATTAATTTGTGTTGTATATTAAATGCTTCAATATTATTTGAGTTTATTATATTATTAATTAATATCACTTCACTCAGATCATTATATAAATTCTTTATCAGTTGCAGCACTTTATTGTTTACACATATAATTTGGAGGTGTAACATTTAGGTTGGTTATTTAGAACGTCTTTAGTGTGGAGCACTTTTGGTTCCCACCCGCCTTTGTTTGCAGGGGGACAGGTTTGAATGAGACACTCTACGAGTTGCACATGTAGACATGTCAGTAAAAGTTATGGAACACACTACCTATAGGTAACAGATATAGATATCTATGGATATCAGAGAGGAAGTTCACTAAGTAATCTCAAAACTTATTTCTTCACTTTATCCTTTAACTCGCTCTGAAATTTTGCACCTTGCGCCACATTTCTGCTCAGCACTTCTTTTAAATGTCTTGTCATTTAATGATTTATTATTTAATTCACTATTTCATCTCATTTTAATATTTTTAATATTTTTAATTTTAGATCAATGCTTTTAACAATGTTTTACATTTATTTTAGGTCTTTTTGTGTGAAGCACTGCAGGTTATTTCTTTGTTGTAAAGCACTTTGTGCTACATTTCTTGCATGAAAGGTACAATACAAATAAAGTTTATTATTATTACATTGTGATACACTGACAACAGGAGCGAATCACAGCTGCTGTTAATGTAAGCGAAGGGAAGTGAAGCTGGTGTCCACAGAGGAAGTGAGAAGACTTTTTCCAGTCAAGTGTGGAAACACGTGACAGCAGCACAGGAATCTGTGTCGTCTGATAAACAACTGAAACTCACTGCAGGTTTACACACAGCATCACTATTTCTCCAGGATGGATCAAACACCACAAACCTGCTAATGTGAGTCCCCTGTTTATTTTTAATCAGACATTTGACTATTTTCATGCACACATGATGAAATTAAAGCTTATATTGTATTTTGGATTCTGTGTAACTGAGAAAACAACGAGGATCTGATCAGATTAAGATGGAAAATGAAAAAAATGTTCAACAATAAAGAAATGCAGCCAAAGAATCAGGGGAGTGAATTTTATTTCCTTTCACAAGCTCAGTATGTGATGAATGTCACTGCCATTACATCTTTATCAAAGCTGTGTACAAGATTATCTTTTAGATTTTATCACAGTCTCCTTTCTAAAATGTTTTGGGTGATAATGAATTTCCTGTTTCCATCAGAGAGAGGTGAAGGCGTCCCACCACTTTCCTGGACATCACTCAATTACCTCTCGGGCTCAATTGACAAATTATATCATTTGTAAAAGTAAAAATAATTTCAATATTGAACTTAAATATGCCATTACTTATTATTATGAAAATAATAATTATGACTATGAATTTATTGTTGATTTGAAAATCCTTTATGGTAAATCACGTTAAAAAAAATCAACCCCAATTTATAGTTTTTTCCGATTTCTTAAGCACCATTTGGAAAACGGCCGGTTTCTCAAAACACTACACACAATTACAGAACACCTCACATCCTTTGCAAAATCAAACACTCTTGTAAAAACTTTACTCTAATTTATAAAAACTATTGTTTGTTACCATATGAAACACACATGTTTCATGACTTCATTCTGTTTGAACCTGTTACACACTGCTGTGCTGAACCTGAAACACTTTAACAATGACACTTCTCAGTGATGAGGGCACTGTAGGTGAAGTACAGAGGAAGTGCAAATATACAATCAATTCACCAAACACTACACAAGACCAATGCTGCAGACTGATGAAACTATCATTCATTTCTCTCCATACACCCAAATCAGTCAACGTGTCAACATGGAGAATCACAACAAAACATGTCCCAGTTTTCATGCTACTGCAGTCGTGTGCATCACACTGTCAGCTCAGCAAATATCACACAAACAGAAAATACAGGTTACAATTACGAGACATTATCTCTGCACCTAGCTGGATCTGGTCGGAGAATTTCATCACCATCACAGGCGATATCCTCATTGGCAAGACAACGTGGGAAGAACCGTCTCGAACATCGAATCCATCCCTGCACAGCTGCGGCGTGGACTTGGTCACAGGCCTCCTCCATGGCTGAATGAGGGGTACCTGAGACTGGGGCCGGAGGTCGTCAACCCTCCACCGCCATGCAGAGAAAAACTCTTCCACTGGGTTTAGAAACGGAGAGTATGGTGGAGGGTAGAGTCCTGTAAACTGTGGATGGTGTAGAAACCAGTTCAGCACCAGAGCAGAGCGGTGCAATGACACATTGTCCCAGATGATACTGTACATGGTTTACTGCTGTGACGCTGTCGTGCAAGAGAGTGGGAGATGTGCTGTAAGGGCCCATATTGGCATGAAGGACAACATGGTCAACTAGTGCTGCGTCAGTTTCATTTGATAAATTCGGTCCTCTTCTTCTTTGAGCACGTTCTCCTCCTGCTTCAGGTCTTCCTCTTCCTCTTCCTCTTCTTCTTCTTCTTCCTCTTCCTCTTCCTCTTCTTCTTCCTCTTCCTCTTCCTCTTCCTCCACCTCAGCCTCTACCTCTGGCACGGCCTCCACCTCTTCCTCTTCCTCTACCTCCTTCTCCTCCTCTGTGGATTCCCCCTCTCACCCTCACTCTTCTTCTTCTGACTCCTTCCATTTTTGGTTGAAGACAGGTGAACTCATGTGCTGCATTTTATAGTTCTTAAACCTGATGGTGTGTCTACAATTAAGCACTCATGTGTTTGCGCACCTGACGGCTGTGTTTAACCAGTTGGCTCACAGGTGTGGTAATGTGACAGTCGGTGCTTTGGGATTGCAAGGAAGTGACATCGTGGATACTAGTGTGTTTAGTGTTTTGCAGAAAGTGTGAGGCTGATATTGGTGCAAATCTGGGCCGATGTTTTGCTCCGTGAGTGGAAGGTTTTGATTATGCAATCGAAAAAAACTGTAAGTGGATTTTTAGTGGAATTGAGAGGAAATATTAGTACTTAATTAATACTTTATACTGTTTAATAATTACTTACTTTAATACTTACTTTATAATGAACTAGATATTTTCAGAATTATATTTTCATTATATCCTCTTATTTACATTATATTTATTTTTATAATTTTTACTACTTGTATTTATGATTTGTCGTTATTCTTGAAGCACGTGTTTGTTTTTATGGACATTTTAATGTTTTCTAACAGTTTTTTAAAGTTTGGAGGGAAAAGAAAATAAACGTGTATTTAGCCCCTCCCCCTTAATGAAGAGTCCGTGTTCTGTTTCCTTTTATTGTTTTTGTTCGCTGTTCATCTTTGTCGATGTATTTTATTTCCGGGGTTAATGATTCGATCAGATGAAATGGAAAATATTTGCATTACAAAGTATTTAAAGAAAAAACGATTGGAATAGACCGAACTGTTCTAACCCCTCCCCCTCCCTCCACACACACACACACACACACACGCACGCACGCACGCACACACACACACACACAGACAACACCACACAACACACACAACACACACACACACACACACACACAGACACACACGCACGCACACACACACACACACCACACACACAACAACCACACAGACACACACATCACACACACACACACACACACACACACAACACAGACCACACACACACACACACAGACACACACACACACACACACACACACACATTCCGGCCTTGCTTGCAGAGTGTTTGTGTGCAAGTTTTTCTGGAAGATCTCTGGCCTCTTTGTTTTTTTTTTGGGGGGGGCATCTAGAAAACCAACATGTCTTCTTTGTCTCTTCCCGCCGCGCCCCTCGTGTGCTCTGCTGGTTCTGTTTCACGGTGACGACGGTAGCTGCTGTTCTGGCTCATCACGGCTGAGTTTCATATATAATATATAGAAATTATAGTGTGGTGTGGGCGGAGGGGGGGGGGGGGTGATGATGTGGCCGTACACGCCAGCTATACAGCTATACATCATTACTATCTCACATATCTCCAGAGGATCATTATAGGTTCATAACATGCGGAAGAGGATCAGGTCCACGCACGATTTTTCTTTTCTGACGTTTTTCTTGAAAAAAAATTCTCTCTTACTTCCGTAACCAACATGTGATATCGCCATAGTAAAATTTGCATATGTATATTTATTAAAAATATCTATGCGAGGAATTTTTACATAGAAGGCATCTGTTTTGCATGTAAAATTTATTAAAACAACATACATGTTAAAACATCGGTTTGTTTATATGTGTTTCTTATTAATATTCAACATGTCTAACTTCACACTCGGGAAAGTGTCTCAGACCTTTGGCGCCTACTGTTTATAATATGATGGATATGTGTTTATTTAGCATCTTTATGGAGGAAGCCTCACAGCTGTTGGTCCAGGTGCGAGATGGTGAGTGACAGTTTCAGCCGTCAGAGGACGTGATAGAGAGAAGCAGCCAGAGCTGCTGCAGCTGAACATGTAACGACAAGATGAGCAAACATCTAAACGCCGCATCTGACGTCATTCAGACTGAACGCTCGTCAGGACTTTGCTGCAGCTTGGACCCCCCCCCCCCCTTTCCCCCCCCCCCCCCCCCCCC